CCCCCCCCCCCCCCCGCTGCATCCTGCCACAGGGACGAAGAGCTGTGTATCTCTGGCTCTGCCTGCCTGCAGGATGGGCACACTGGTATTGGTTCTGCCTCGTGCGGGAGCATACACGGGCCAAGGCCAGGTCTGCCTTCCACATGCAGGTGTGAGTCCACATTTCTGCTGCTGCTGGGCCTTGACACATGTCCATCTGCCACACAGATCCAAACTGTCCTCAGAGAAGTCGCCCCAAAGTCACGGGGCAAGGATTAGAAAGCCTGAATGTGGATTAGAAGTGGAGGCCTGCCCATCTAGACCACATTCTCCAATCCAGTTTTTAGGAGGCGTATATGTAATAATCTGCCTGATTCATGAGTCTACTTCTCAGTGTCTCCAAATGCACTTTTTGCTATTAATACCATGATAAATATACCCTTCCCCACAGTTCTGAATATAGCACCCAAGTGAATATTTTAAGGCTCCTGCCATCACTGAGTATTACCTTTTTCATGCTGTGAGTACATGATAGTTGTTAATCAGCACTCTAAAATCCCAGTAAATAAACTGTTCATTGTGTTTAGTGGCCACAGTCTGAACCAAAGATTCTGCTGAGACAGAGGACGGTGAGAGGGGCAGGCCTGAGTGACATATGCAAAGCCCAGATCACCACCCTTGGGTTGCCCTGAAAGTAAATCCAGTTTTTCGAATTGAGGGTTAATCTCTACAACAGAGCTGTGATTCCCACACTGCACATCTATCGAAGCATGTCAGTGAACTCCCAGGAACACTGCAGACAATTTTCAAAGGTCACACAGTGACATCTCTCTGATGCCACATGAATTACCTGCTGAAGACAGCTCACAGTTTCAACATTAGATCCTGACATGCCTTTCAAGATGTCCTATCTTTGCAAAACTGGGATTTCAGGCGTTAAGATAAAACATAGGTACCACCAGAACATAAGGGGATTATAAATGAGGGTAGACATGTCTAATCTGGATTCAGGTTTGGGAAGTTGTCCAGTGCCCAAAAGGAGTATATGCAGAGTCACACAGGGCCTGCACTCAGAGAGGCCTTGGGCTGCTTAATGCTCTCCTGTCACCAACCTGAAATTCTGAGTAACTTTTAAACAAAGGGCTTCACATTTTTATTTTGTACTGGGCCACACAAATTATGTGGGTGAAATACAAGTAAAAATCTCAACAGGATTTGTGGATTGTGTCAATGTCGATAACCTGTGATGTTGTGGTTTGCAAGATATTTTTGAGGAAAATTGAATAAAATGTAACATGGATCTCTATTTCTTACAACACATGAATTTACAATTATCTCAAGGTTAATTTATATATGTGTTATAAAAATATATAATTTGGGGAAGCTCTAATTTATAGCACTCTAATAAAAAGCGTGGTGAGACAAATAAAATGTGTGTTGTAAGAGTTTAGAAATTACTACTTAGACTTTATAAAGGAAAACAAAAAACTATTCCAAAGCTAAATCAGCAAGTTTTTGTTGTCATAATATTGTGTCCTGAATCATGCAATAAAAAATGTAACCATTGTATTGCCCAATCCATTTCTGCTTACTATACAAATCTTTCCTGTGTTGTATGAAACAAAATCTTTCTGAGCTATAGGAATCAGAACAGCATGGTATTGGCATAAAACAGACACACAGCTCAATGGAACAGAATAGAGAGCCCAGAAATAAACCCACACATATAGGTTCAATTAATTGATGACAAAGGAGCCAAGAATATACAATGAGGAAAGGACAGTCTCTTTAATAAATGGTGCTGGGAAACAGGACAGCCACATGCAAAAGAATGAAACTGGATCACTGTCTTACACCATACACCGAAATTAACTCAAAATGGATGAAAGACTTGTACGTAACACCTGAAACCATAAAACTCTTAGAAAACAGACAGCAAGCTCCTTGACATTGGTTTCATGATTTTTTGGATCTGACATGAAAAGAAAAGGCAACTAAGGCAAAAATAAACAAGTGGGACTACATTAAACTACAAAACTGCTGTACAGCAAAGGAAACCATCAAAATTAAAAGGAAACCTACTGAATAGAACATATTTGCAAATCATATCTGATAATACGTTAATATCCAAAATCTATAAAGAACTCATACAACTCAATAGCAAAAAAAAGAAGTCCAATTAAAAAATGGGCAGAGGACCTGGATAGACATTTTCCAAAGACATACAGATCGCCAATAGACATATAAAAAGATGCTCATCGTCACTAATCATCAAGGAAATGCAAATCAAAAACACAATGAGATATCACCTCACATGTGTCAGAATGGCTATCATCAATAAATCAGTGTTGGAAGAGGATGTAGAGAAAAGGGAACCTTCGTACACTGTTAATAGGAATGTAAATTGGTGCAGCCACTATGGAAAACTGTACAGAGGTTCCTCAAAAAATTAAAAATAGAACTATATATTATGACCCAGCAATTCCACTTCTGGATATTTATCTAAAGAAAACAAAAACATTAACTTGAAAAGATATATGCATCCCTATGTTCATTGCAGCATTATTTACAATAGCCAAGACATGAAAACAAAACAACTGTAGTATCCATCGATGGATGAATGGATAAACATTATACACACACACACACACACACACACACACACACTCACAGAATGGAATAGTATTCAGCCATATAAAAAATGGAAACTTGCCATTTGCAACAACATGGATGGACCTTGAGTGCCTATGCTAAGTGAATCACATCAGATAGAGAAAGACAAATACTGTATGATCTCACATTTGGAATCTAAAATAAATCAACAAAAACAAAAACCCCAAACTCATAGATGCAGAGAACAGATTGGTGGTTGCCATAGGTGGCGGTGGGAGGTGGATGAAATGGGTGAAGGTGGTCAAAATGTATAACCTTTTAGTTACAAAATAAGGCCTGAGATGTAATGTACAGCATGGTGACTACAGTTAATAATCCTGTATTGCATATTTAAAAGTTGCTAAGAGTAAATCTTAAAAGTTCTCATCACAAGAAAAAATACTTTGTAATTATGTAGGGTGATGATAACTGGACTTACTGTGATGATCATTTTGCAGTATATATATAAATATCAAATCATTATGTTGTACTCTTGAAACTAATGTGTTATATTGTCAATTAGACTTCAATTTTTAAAAATGTGGAATTTCAATATAAGAAATTCTCCCTAATCATTGTAATGTCTTATGAACATTCAGTGAATTCTCAAGTTATAGATAAGATTGCAAAACTGAGTGCAAAGATATTCGTCAAACAGAAGTTATATAATATTTAAAAACATAATTACAAACCCCCAAAATCTTTCTGAAAATAATTTGATGGTATGTAATAAGAGCCTTAAAAAAGATTAGATGCTCTAATCCAGATGTTCCACCTCCAGGAATCTATCAAGAAAACTAATCAGAAAGGTACATGCAAGTTCAATCATACCTTATTCACAACAGTGAAAAACTGGAAACCTACATTTCCAGCAACAGGATGATGTTAGTAACTGTTGGCATGTGCATATGGAAGAAAATGTGATACAGATGTCAAAAATCATGTTTTAGAAGAATAACTTGAAAACACATTCAAGATATAAAATAAGTAAAATAAATTATGAATATTATATATGAGCTTAAATTTTTAAGTCTGGATAAGGGGTGATTTTTATTTTTCTTTTATATACTCGTATTTCAAATGTCTACAATAAGCATCATTCACTTTTATAGTCTTGGAGTAGATTTTTGTTGTTTTTTAAGTTTCTTTCCTGTAAATATAATAATGGTGTATTAACATCTGCTCTCAGAATGGACCTATTTCTGGTGAGCTGATTTATAAAATTTGCTGAGCTCCTCTCTAGCTCCAGGCTGGGAAAGAAACTTTAAAAACATACCGCCACTTTCATGTGAGATTTGAGGTGGATGTTATCATCTGTATTTTGCAGATGATGATACTAACATTCAAAGAGGTTAAGTACCCCAAGGTTACACAGCTGGCTATTAATGAGTTAAGGATATCTGCAAACTCAGGTCTGTTTGGCTCCAGATCTCATAACTTTCCCCCAATACAATGTGGTCAAGGAGCCACATGACTAAGAAGAAGCAATTTCATGGTGCATGACCTACCGTGAGTCGGGGCCCCAACCAGCAGCACTTGTGTCTGGGTGCCATTCAGCATTACATGGCCACTTGACAAGGAGGTACCCAGTTTCCCCATCGCCTGTGAAATACAATAATAAAGTACAGCTAAAAAAATGTTCTCTGTGGTGTCCACTCTCTTGGGGAAGGAGGGGTTGCCGTACCTTGTCTCCAGAAATGGTAAACCAGCTTTGGCAGTTGGGCGGGAAGTAGCCGTACACCCGTCCCAGGCTCTGTTTCTCATCACGAGAGTGGAACGTGTGGCCCAGACTGGAGTGAAGCACAGTGGGCTTAATGCTGGGGTACAGTCAGGAGTCGGCCAGGTTCACAGGTCCAAGGAAAAACAACATACTTATCCCCGCCCATGCCCCCTCTCAGTCCTGTATGCTCTCAGTCCCTGTGGCCCCAGGCAGGGAAGTAAGTGGGGGGGGGGTGTCTTTCAGAGTGGACCCTAATCTCCAGGCTCTCCAGATACAAGTCCTGCCTTTCTGTCCCCCACTGACAGCAAATACAGGGATGCTCACCGTAAAAGGCTGAGCTGTGTCCCCCGAAAATTCATATGTTGAAGTCCTAACCCCATGTATTTGGAGATAGGGCCTTTAAAGAGGCAATTTAGTTAAAACGAGGTCATTAGGGTGGGCCCTAATCCAATCTGACTGGCGTCCTTATAAGAGGAGGGAAAGACACCAGGCATGGGAACAGAGAAGAGGCCACGTGAGGATACACTGAAAAGGCAGCTGTGTGCAAAGCAAGGAGAGAGGCCTTGGAAGAAAACCCTGCCGACACCTTGATCTCAGACTTCCAACCACAACTAGGGAGAAAATAAATTCCTGTTGCTAAGTCCCCAGTCTGTGGCCCTTTGTCATGGCAGCCCTGGCAAACTAATACACCTATCTATCTCATTTTTAAACTTCTAAGAATTTGCAACCTTGCCCCAGGGCCTTATCTTTTCTTCGAAGAAGAACTATTTCTTAGCCCCTTTCTCTGAACCCCACACTGCAGGGGCTCCCACAGCAGCAGGCACCTGCCCCTGGTATACTCAGTGGTCCCTGAGCCCCAATAGCAGCACTTACCTACTGGTATTTTTCCAGGTCGGGCTCCCCACCAACAGCAGGGTCCTATTGTTCACACTGACACCATGAAGGGAGTACCCCAGCCATGAGAAGTCCGCCTCACCTCTCACCATCCAGTTGGCCGCCTCCACGTTCAGTTTTTCTACACAAGAAAACCATTCTGTTTTTTACTTTAAGTGGGAGCACTGCTGGAGTAGAAAGAATGGTTCCTTCCGTAGGCTAATCAGAAATGGGTTCATTCTGTTGAGTTTTTGCCAGAAATCTATGCCTTCACCACTGTTCCCAGGACCCCAACATTAGAGATGGGTCTCGCATGTCATGTAGGAAATGCATACCTAGAACTCACTAGCGTGCAGAGAGGATGCTATTTAAAAAGAGTCCCTCTTGGACACTTCAGAGCATCACTGGGATGCCTTTGGTCTTCTGCTCTTACACTGGGAGACTAGGAGAATAAACCATTTGGTCCCCTTGGAATCTGGACCTAGAAGTTGGGTCCCTTTTTGTATATTCAGTAAATCTATGCATTATCACTTGCCAGAATATCTGTAAGAGTAAGAAGACTGTCAGAAAATGTAGGTGAAAGGATATGGAATGAGGGAAAAGGACATAAACCCATATGCAAGAGAATTCCCCACAGACGAGTGCAGCAAAGGTCCCCACCTGTCCCCCCAGCAAGCACTACCTTTGTCGCTCCTGCCAGGGTCAGAATAAAATGCAGCCACAATCCCCTTCTGTTTCCCTCCACCCGGAGCGAAAGGGGAACCAATCACCAGATCAGGCTCGCTGTCTCCATTCACATCTGCAGCCAAGAGCGTCCAGCCCAGGTTACAGTACGTGTCCTTAGGAGGAAACCAGGAGACCCGTTTTACTCCTCCCTGGCGGCATTTAGGATGTGGTGTTCTAGTGTCTGCACCTGGCTAAGGTGGTCAGCATACCTGGCAAGAGATGGTGATGTTGGGAGAAGGAGACATTCTTCCTCGCTTGGAACCAAAGTAGACGTACACTGCGCCCTAGGCAAGGACAAACCCAGGGGGGGTCACAAGGTCAGGTGCAACCCAAGACCCTTAATAACAGCAAGAACAAGAGGACTGACCACGAAATAAGTCACCATCAGAGCTCCCCATGGGCAGGAGCTGGGTGACTGACACAAACCTGCCTTGTGTATTGCTGGGCTGAAATGGTGTGACTTTGTGGTTTTTGTGTGTGTGTCTCTTCCATCAGACTATTAGAGCCCCAAAGCAGAAACAGTCGATTTTATCTTTGCCTCCCCAGTGTCTTGCTTGGGGTCTACCCTGCATAATTGCTCAGTGTATTTGCAGGTAACTTCACCTCCCCTGCCTTCAAGGCCCAGCTCAGTTTCTGGCTCAGCCCATCACTCCTCTAGACATGAACACACCGTGTGGGTACCACTCATCGGCCTTGGGACTGTTAGTCTGTGTTATGAACCATTCCTATCTTTAACTTGCCCGTCTCCACCCCTACTCCTGCAAGCATTTATTTTCCATCACGAGCCAAGTCCTTGGTAGGCAATAATAAACAAGACCGACCCTTGCCCTCCTGAAAAGCTAGCAAGTTATGACACTACACCTGGAGGGGACTATGACAGGTACAAGTGCAGGATGCTATGTCAGGACAATGAAGTATCCTAATCTAGGGATTACATAACGCCCCCTACAGAAAGTGACATGTCACTCCTGATGGGTCATGACAAATGGTTCACATGTTGAGAAATAGAGTGTGAGGAGGGAGGGGCAGAGGTGACCCTGCGCTGGGCAGAGGGCAGCGCGGGGCCTCCGACCTCCAGTCAGTCACATGCCGGGTGCTCCTACCCAGCTGTGATACGAGCACACGTGGGAAGAACGCTTGTGGGCTGAGACCCAGGATCTCTGCTGTCAGTGGGAAAACGGAAAAGGTTGGGGTCTGCCTGACAGGGAAGATCCAGGGAAGTCACCTCTGCTGGGATGACAGGAAGCTACGGATTGGCTGGAATTTCTGTCGCCTTCCCTGCCATGCAGCATCATGGGTGGAGAGCTTGGGGGAGAGTACTTGCTGGACTTGTGAAGCCATGAGGCCAATCTGAGGCCAGGGAGGCAGGAACAGGTACTGCCAGGTAAACGAGGTCACATCAAGGACCGAGATGGGGGAGCCAAGTTCACCTGCCCCCAAACAGTCAGCCGGGCACATCTGGCTGGCTGCTTTCTCCAGAAGCTCTGTCCAGCACGGTCTCCCCTCGGCAGCCCCTCCCCTCCCACCCCATCCCACCCTCCTTCCCACCCCATTCCACCCTGGCACCCAGCAGCAGCCTTACTTTGTATGTGAGCTGATCCGAGCCCACCGAGGGGGCTCCCACAGCCAAGTCGGGCATCCCGTCCTTGTTAAAGTCCAACACGGCCAAGGCCGAGCCGAAGCGGCCTGAGGGCTGAAGAGGCACGAGTTACTTCCCCGGGGCTAAGCCACAGCTTCAGAGAGCACTGCTGACTCCCTGGGAGTGGGGAGCTCTGGGGCCACTGTCACCCGAGGGCTGAGGAACAAAATTGCAGCAACCCATAACACGTCCGAGACGTGTCAGCTGGGTAGCTCGGGCCTAGCAAGATATTTAGCCTGTCCATCTGCCTTAAGGGGAAGAAGGGATACCAGAAAGTAGAGCGGGTCGGTACGTGCTAGGATTTTAGAAAATGGTCTGGTGTGCACTAGGCCCCACATTAAAACCAAACTTTTCCTGGAAAGTATCCAAAGTAATGATCCCATAACAACAGCAAACAGGGTTGTCCAATGCAGTGGCCACTAGCTAAACATGGCCATTACATTTAAACTTAAATTAACATTAAACAAATTAAAAATTCAGTTCCTCAGCTGCACTAGCCACATGTCAAATGCCCAAAAGCCAATGCGCATAGCGGAGTGGCTCCCACACCAGCCAGCACAGCTACAGAACATTTCCGTCATTCCAGGAAGTCCTATTGGGTGACAGACACTGCTGTACACACTGTTCTAAGCACTTTAAGTGGACTAAAGTAGTACTTTCATTACCCCCACTTTCATGGTTTACAGGTGGAAAACAGTCCATTCGGGGACATTATTTTCTTCCAAGGTAAGTTTTCTAGATCTTGCCTTACTGTCTAGAATAAGCTGAGACTGAAAAGTAACTCATAGGTTGTGCGACTCTTTCACAGCTTACGTAACAGTCAATAGTCTTACACAAGGTGATGTTTGCCACATGACACACATGCCCCAGAAACCACATGGATTCCATATTAGCTCATCTCTCTCCACCCATGTGCAATGGCATCTAGGAATACAACCCCTTTCTGCAAGGCAGTAACTCGATAAACAAGAAAGGATTGCTCTGGGACACAAAGCACGCTGGGGCAGGGTGGGGGCCACCAAAGCAGGGGCCCTCCCAGCTGAGGACGGTTTCATTTCATCACCACCAGTACAGCCTCAAGTCCTCCTGTGGGTTAACCAGTCATTCCTAGAGAAATACAGACTTTTGAAGCAGATAAACGCTTGAGATCGCTCTCCTAACCCTCCACTTGACAGACAAGGACACAGAAAGGCTAATTCCAGACTGAGGCTAGAGTGCATGACTCCAGAGCATCCTCAGCCCACGCCTTCATCTGGCCATCTTCCAAGTTATCTTAGGGAAGAGGGCTCGGAGCCACCTTCTTCGCTCCAAGTGTCTCTGGGAGAGTTTATCATCCACAGGAAGCAGCTGTCCCTTATTCCCTGTCTACAGGAGCCCAAAGGATTATACCTCATACAACAGCCTGACAGGGGCGTGCCTTTGTCAAGAGGCAGCACCAGGAAAGAATAGATTGATTTTGGAACTTTCTCATGTGGCGTCACAAGGTTCCAGAGAGTGCTGTCCCTCTGAGACTGTGTGACCTTACGCACTGGCCAACTTATTCACGCCTTTTGGATTCAGGCCGCCTTCTACCAGAGCCTAAACTGATCATAAACCACTGTACCTGTCATTTTTTAAAGTATGTTCAGGCATGTCATCTTATTTTGTCTTCACAGAATTAAAGCCACCACAAAAGGTTTAGTGGCCTGCCCGGGACAAGAACCACAATCTGACTCAAATCCAGGGTTCCCTCCCCTGGTGCTTGATATTCGGAGCACACAGTCTATACTCACCTGTGACTAGCAGCGGGGCTCTGTCTGCCCCTCCTGCGGCTCTGTAAGGATATTGCCAATGATGTCCCAGAGGAAACCCCTCCAGGCCCCTAACGTGACTCTATGAGGCACATCTGCATAGTCATTGTGCAATTTTTATGGTAATGAATAATCACTTAAAGCAATGAAATCTGCACAAAGTCTGGAGTTTAGTTAATAGTAGTGTACCAACGTTGGTCTCTGAATTTTGACGAGTATATCATAATTACGTAAGATGGGGAAAGTGCCTAAAGGGTATATGGGAACCCTCCCTGTACTGTCCTTTCAACTTTCCTGTCAATCTAAAATTCTTACAAAAGAAAACATTTGTATAAATAAAAGTCAGTTTTGTATTATCAAGAAATCACATCCTGATTCGCTACTTAAAGCAGTTCTAAACAGTATGGTTTTAGAAGAAGGTTATTAGACTAAATGAAGTTAATTAGATAGAGTGTGATAAACAAAGGGAACATGCTTTTAATGAAAAATGCTACACAGTGTAGGTCTGTTACTCTCTTACTCTACTGTTACTCTCATTGTTCTTGTTACCGGTTAATCATCTGGATATTTGCCCCAAAATACGAGCAGTGGCTTATTGACACTAAAATTCGAGATGGGCGCCTCACCTGAAAGCCCTCCAGGACCCCGTGGGCCTCTTCGTCTAGGTCTAGGTCGATGGGGGGCAGGCCCAGGTCGTTGCCGTAAATGAGGTACACACGTCCCACGTGGATGTGGCCGGGGCGGCTGTAGCCCGGGGCACCTACTACCAGGTCATCATGCCCATCCTGGTTGAGGTCAGCCGAGGTCATTGCCCTGTAGAGACAAAGAGAACACATGGCAGTGTCTGCTGAGAGCTGTGGGTAAGACTGTCTACCTGCTTCTTTCTTTCTAGAATTCAGCACTTTCACTTTCTCTCACTGATTTTGCATCTGCGTGACCACTGTTGAATATTCACTTCTGAGGTTATATTGTGTGTGAATCACAATCTTACTCTCTAATTTAAAAAAACAAAACTGTACAAATGAATGCCTCTGGGAATCTTTGGGCCATATAACCTGAGCAAACGAAAGCTTCCTCACAGAATATCCCATTCTTTTTTTTTTCTTTTTAAGATTTTTATTGGGGAATCAGGGGAAGGGGAACAGACAAGTTGCTGTCCTTTTGTTCTTCAGTCTAGTTGTGGAGGATGTTGCTTCACTGGCCCACGTTGGCACCATCATTGCGCTCTTCCTGGGCGAGGCAGATCAGTCACTGGCTTCTGGACGGCCACTCACTGCGGCT